CACACACACACACACACACACACACACACACACATATATATATATATATATATATATATATACACATACGTACACATACATAACACACACGTACACACGCATACACATACGCACACACACATACATACACACACACATACACGTACACACACATATATACATTTATATATTTATTTATTTATTGTATATATATATATATATTTATTTATTTATTTTTTTTTGTATATATATTATATATTTATTTATTTATTTATCTATCAGTGTACGATTTTTCAATCCCTTAGAGAGATTGTCATGTCTCATTTGCATAATAAGCTCTTTTGCTTATAATTTCAAAAACCACTACAGGTGGCTGTCTGTCAGTCTTCTTCTTTCTTATCCATTTATTGCTTTATCTTGACCTTTTTATCATACTTTTATTATCGTTAATTTTGCTGACAAATTTGGCAAAAAAAAAGTGAAAAAAAATTTGGGAAGGATTCAAATTATTTGAATATTATTCAAATCTTCATGCCCCTCATTTCACTTGCATTTTAAACTTTCTAAAACTGTAATTTCGCACATTTAAAAAAATTATTTCATCATTAAAATTTATGAAATTTATGGAATTAAAAGTTATTTCATTATTAATTTATTTCTGCAAGAATGATTGTAATGTCCGATTAGATTCAAGTAATTTCATCAATTTCACTTTTGATTTTTACTTTTTTGTTCTTCCGACATTCCAATTAATTTTCCTATTTTTTTTCACCCATCAAAATGCAAATTAATTTAATTTAGCCTTTAAGAAATCTTCCATATCAATTGCAGCATCTTGAGAATTTTCGCCTTTTCCATTTTTGAACAATGGCTCATTTTTTTCCTTAATTTTATTTTTTCAAACTACGGTATTTATTTCTCAGCTGGAAAATGGCATATGATTCTTTAGGCAACAAAAAAAGAGAGAGAAAGGAAGAATGAAATATCATTGAAATTCAAACTATAGGTAACCAATGAAGGTTAGATAAGTATGAGGTATGTCATCGAATTTCATCATTTTCCGCCAAATGTAAAAATTTTAGACGCCAAACTTTGAAAGCAATAATTAATGCTATGATATTTGAAAGAAATTTTAAAATTTCAAAATAAATATTTGGAATATTCTTGGTAATCGATATTTATTCATAATATTAAATGATTAAAGTGAAGTGCTTTCTATTCCGTTTAATTGTTAAACTACCTGTCATATGGATATATTATTATATGCTTTTTTGACGATTAAGAATTCTTTTCAAAAAGTTAAAAAATAGAAGATAAAAGGGTTAAAGGCTATCAGAAGCTTACTGTATCTAAATTAAGCTTACTGTACCCAAATTATCAAATTCAAGCATTTTCACTGATACTTTAAGAGACAAGCAACTTTACCTTTAAAATAGTCCTTCCATTTCAAATGTGGCTATGTGTAGATTATGCTATATTCTTGTTCTTATTCTTTTAATTCCAATTCCAATTTATATTCTATTCCTGTTACTTGTTTAGTATTCCATTTTATACTCTATTCCTGTTATTTGGTTCGTATTCCACATTTACATTGCCTTCCTGTTATTTGTTTAGCAACTTATACCTATTTCTCTTATTTGTTTAGCAGTATTTAGCAGAATTTTCGCTTTCTTTAGGAAGAGAAAAACACTTCAATTACCAAAACCTAAGAAATTATTTACTATACCATTTTTTGTTGCCATTTCTTTTAAAACATTAAGCATATCTTTTACTTTCAAAAGAAACTTCCACAGTTTCTTTATCTTTCATTTCGATAAGTATATGCCAAATTTTAAAATAAATATCAAATTTAGAATGAATAATGTATCAGATTTAAAGTAAATATCAAATTTTTCTTTTTTTTGCAAGTAATTATTATTATTATTTCTCTTTTTTAAATTTAATTTTAGCTATATTATTTGCATATTCTTTGAAATCAAATATCATATGATAAATGAAAGTCGGAAATTTAAAAGTCATTTAAAAAGGATTGAGAGTGTAAAAAGAAAATGAAAATCATTATTTTTTAGACAATTCAAGTATGGCGACAATTTTCTGCATTTATCCAATAAATAATATCTTTATTAGTAATTTCTCAGTATTATCTAACAAAAAGAAAGAAACTGAGAAATGCTAATTCTTTTTACATTCATTAATCTAATTAGTTGTGGAATGAAGAAGAAATATCTGAGGAAATAATATTTCCAAAAAGATAGAAATTTTGAAGAATTAAATTACTTATAACAGTTAATACTTCTTATCACTAATTTCATTGTGCTTTTTTTTTTTGCAAAATTTGCGAAAATTTTAACAAATAACATGTTTGTCTCATGTTAAAAGACATCATAAATCCAAGAAAAGGTGATCAACGTTGTCATTATCATCATCATCATCTTAACGATGACACATATTGGTGTCACATTGCGGGAATAAAGCAACACATCAAATTGTCACCTTCGAGTTTCCATTTTCCTTTTTATTCGAATTTCATTTTATAATTTAGAAAATTTGATCTACTAAGAAAATATTTAAATTACAGTTCTCCTTCAGCACACATTTACTAATTGTTCTTTTTGTTTCGTGAAGATATAAATGATAAATTAAAATAAATTAATAAATCGAATAAAATATTTTTATTATAGTTTTTATATATTATAGTTAATAGTCTTTTTATTATAGCTTTTCTTTTTTCTAAAATTTTGGAAGGACTTATTTTTTGCATTATAGTTTTTATATGGAATGGTATGTAGTAAACGTCATATTTATAGTAAATATCATTATTTATAGTAAACATCGTTTTATAGAATGCATTTTACTTAGTGGAAATTTCAACTGTAAAATTAATAAAGACATTTAGTCATTCCTATTTTGCTTTATTTCTATTTGAAATGCTATAAATTTGTTCAAATTTAGGGCAAATTAATAATAGTGCTGTTGGAAAGATAGGGATGGTATATTCATAATGACCAACGATACTGTCAACAGTAAACAGTTATGACATTTATGTGGCGCATATGTCATCATTTATTTGAATCATAGTTAATTTCAGTAAAAATTTATTACTTTAGTATGATTTATTTTGAGAAAAATTGCTATACTTAATCAAAATACCGGAAATTATTAAACAAAATTGCAAATTTTTACGAATAATTTTGCAAGAAAGTGAACTGTTCTGTGAAATACATTGGAATTGTATTCTTTTATGAATATAAATAATTTTATTAAATTTAAAGCTAAAGATCACCATATTTTAATTCAATCCAGCAAGATTTCCTTTCTGTATATATTTGCATATCGAAACTTTCAAAAAATCTCCTTGTCTTTTTTGGATAAAATCATTAACTTTAACGTGAGTAGTCGAATTTCATCAAATGAAATATTTGAATCGTAAAATTTCATCAAAAAAAAAGAAAAGGACTTGTTGAATATAATAATTGAATCGATTGCCATAATATAATTGTTTTTCCTTTTCTTATGAATTTTGCACATCAAAGGTTTTCGTTTTTTTTTTTGAATGAAATCATCAAATTTTAATCTTCTTCTGATAAAAAACGAATGAACGAAATGATAATGTAATAATTTTAGTCTTTTTACCTTCTTCCTCTAATGCGTAATATTATGACAATGATTCCGGTCCCGGAAACAGGAAGGAAGAAGAGATTCTAATTTAGGCGAAATTACTGCATTGCATTCTATGATGCAACCCCACCCGCCCCAATAAAATTTCAAATTTTCAATCTTTTACTGAATAATAAGTATTTTTCGTCCTCGCATTATTGTCTAACAAAAAAAAAAAAAAAAAGAAAGAGATATCTT